GCCTACTTTAAGATTTCTTAATATTCCGATTATGACAGTGCTTCAGTGTGATGACTGTCTTGCCTCCAAATGCACCACGAGATATTATAAGGCACAAAAAGATATTGCTGCCTTAAGAGAGCAAACAACTCTGCTTGGCAGAAATAAAGCGAGTGTCACAGAAGTCAGTGAAACATTTCTCACCTCAAAGACAAAAACGTGGGAGAAAGTGTTTACCTAACACACAATCTGGGAAGTTTTCCAAACTCTGTTTAAGAAGTGTTTAGTCTGACACAGTTCCCTCCAAACCCCTAGAGAGATGCTAGAAATATTCATACGAGGATAATTCATAAACGAAAGAGACTTACTAAAATCCTGTTCCAAACTATGGTTCATATCACTTTGTTTCAACACATATCTGCACTGCAACCACTGAAACTCCAATGCAGTGCATTGTACTACTGTCTTCCTCAGCACATTCTTACTGGATGACACTTTATAAGAACATGTGTGAAATTCATACCAGAAGACTCGTCTGTCACACATCTCTTGTACTCCCAGGGTTGTTCTGCATTTTCTTCTGATGTTCTTTAAAAAATTAATAAAATAAAAAATAAATACTGCTGCTGACAGGACATTAAATGAGAGGGATATGTGAACTGATTTAACACGGAAATTGCTTGCTCAGCTATTTTATTAATTGATACCATTAGCGATAGCTGTAACCAGCAACTGGAAATAGCTCAGTGCCTGACATTTGCAATCAAGGAGTTGTAGTCCTGCTGCTGCTTCATCAGGTCCTTTCCAGCTGCTGTCCAGATAAGCTGGACACCATACCAAAAAACCCACCAACTCCTGACTGTCCAGTTATTCTCTGCATCCAGCTGCTCCACAGCATTGTCCAGCTAAGCCTGACGGCAATGAGGATCCATGTTTCATTGCAATTTCCTTCTGCTGAATTGAATCTTTCAACTGCAACTCCTGTCCCAACCTAGCAGTTCACAGGATCAAACCAGTCATTATTATTCAATATATAAAACAAACTTTCCATGCTTTCGCAGTAACCTCTTCAGATCTCTAAATAGATCAGATATGCTTTGTATGATTTCTTGTTTCAACATACTAACTTCCCTTCATTATAAATCCAGATCACAGCATTTCAATCCAGTCAAAATCACATTGTCCAGACATGTTGCTCCTGCATTAGAGAAGCAAACAATGTGAGTGGAAGAAGTGGTTCCACCAACAGCCCAATTCCTAAATTTAGTTCCCCTGTCTCTTTTCAGTCACAGCTTTTTGAGGGTAAGCTGTGCTATGTCACAATGCTTCTTCACTCACACACCCTTCTACTGTACACGGGGAATCCTGACAGCATTGCACCCAGGCAGCCACCAAGCTCCCCCAGAGGAGTGCTGTGCAGATACTTCATTCACACATTCAAGAGGTAAAGAAATACATTCTGTGGCTCTTCCCCCTGAAGAAAACTAGTAGAGGCAGAAGGTCTGGAGAAGCATAACAAATACTATTCTGTCTTTAAATTAGTATTCATGACACAGAAAGAGTAATGGTCCTTATGTTCCCTACTCCTCAGTGCAGAATTTTGGTCTTGGGTCCAACCCAATCCAAAGTGGGTATTTTTCAGAAGTAGAGCTATTTTCTCCTCATATTCAATTTATGCTGCATGTCCATTTACTTCACTGGAGTATTTACACTCCAAATAAAAACCAAAAAAGCATATCACTGAGAAGTTAAAAAATATCCTTCCTTATTTAAATAAGCCACTTCTAGTTGTCTCAGAAATTATTATTTTAAGCTCTGTATGCCCTTAAGAAAACCAAAAGAGCAAAATATAAAACTGGACAGGCAGGTTCAGGAGTAAGTGGGACAAAAAATGAACAACAGTGCATTACCCTGTCTTAGGGACCTGTTCATATCTTTTTATTGTTTATCACTATGATTTAAGCTTATTTTGTAATATATTATTTTATTTTTTTTAAGAAAGTAGAATTCCAAGGAAATAAACTTTCTACTTTATTTCTTGAATGAAATGAAATGTAAATTTATACAAATTCAAAACCACACATGTAATCAGATAAACCTCAATAATCTTCTTTCAACTCATCTTTTTCAAAACATTTAAACTTTAAAATGTTTGCAATGTTAAAGGTTGATTCTGTACATGCAGCAACCAGAGTAAAAGAGAAAGACATGACAACAATCTGCCCGTTATCCAACATGACAACTGTGCTTCTCACTCAGAATAACCAGTCTCTCAGAAGAGTAATGTATATCACAGATTCTCTCAGTTTTCATTAGTACACTATCTCAATTTCTCCAGGGAAATTATCTTTGAACAACATATCACTCTGCCCTTGGAACCATCAAACTGACATTTGACAAAACTGTGGAAGGCTCCTAAGTTAAATTTAAAACTCGGTTAAACCTCGCCTTACACATCTCATTGAGCTTTAGCCTCCCACAGAAACAATTAGGAAGGCCAACATCAGAGGCTGGTGGGAAAATTTCTAGCACTGGCAAGTATATTATACATGGAAAAAATACCCATCTCCTCTAAATACTGCTGCAGATAAGCTTAGGGAGTATGCTTAGGGAGTATATAACCTGCTATAACCTAAATGAAAAACAAAACAAAACAAAACAAAAACCATGTTACTGACTGATTTTTGTGCTCAGGACATTAGTATTTTATATGTAGATGTGTACACTGGGGGGCAGATTTATGACAATGTATTTGATTTTCTTCTTTGCCATCAGTATCAAGAGATGTGTGTTTATAAAACAGATGCAGCATTTCTCTAATTATTCTAACCCCATATAAAAACAGATTAGTAAAATGACAGCTAAAATCATATTGATTAGCAGAAATTAAAGAAATTAATAGATCTGTTTCTTAAATTAAGGTTTTGATCCTAATGACAATTCAAGCTGCAAAAACTTAACACTTCACTGAATTCTCACAATAAACTCTAATCATACACTACAAGTTATCTAGGACTCTAGGGATGAAAGTTGTCAGGGTTATGAGGACAGTTTGCTTCAACAAGGTCAGCTGGTTTTTTAGGTCAATAAATCATAACAGAAATTGCACCTCCAACTGCTGAACAAATGCTTCTGCATACCAATCACTGAATTCCAGTGAAATCAACCATAATGACAACCGCATAGCATAATACCCTTCTTTAAGCTCCCTTTGGCTAGAGAGATTTTCAATCAGTGATGAGTATGTTCTGATAGAAATGCCACAGTGGTCATATTCAGACAATAACTTCACCAAAGCCAACTCCAGAGTAAATGCATTTCATTAATTTCTAGAAGAAATAAACTGTTTAAGTATTTTTATAAGTGGGGTGTAATAACTATCTATTCCAGCAAAGAAAATGTGCTCGCAGTAAATAGACAATAAAAAGAAAGTGTTCATCTGATTCATTGCTGCAATCTGTAAACCTCAAATTTCAGAAACAAAATATACCTCCAATTGTGATATGCATTAAAGCACATCAGGAAAAAAACCCTTGTCTTGTCAATCTTTTCATAATGAGCCACCTTTTGCCATACAGTTCGAAGGCATCCACATGAGAAACTTATCTGACATATCTGAACCGTGAAATGTGAACTGTGCTTGAGAACTCTCCTAAACTGGCAAGCTCTGCTTCTGTATGAATAGAGAACAACGCTGTGCAAAAAGTATGCATTGACATAAAAATTCTGAAAACGTCAGATCTGAACATATGATAAAGGCAGACTGGACATTTGCCGTGATTTTAGACAAATGTGCTGCACGGCAACCCGATATCTGGAACCGTATCTGCAAATGCAAAACTTTGGTAGCTGAAATCCACCTAGAAAGTCTTTGCAGTACACACCCTCCTCTACACTCCAGTCTGATTGATTTATGAAGTAGTAAACACTTTCTACCTTTACAATGACTGAAACACAAGTCTCTTCCTGCCTAAAGCAAAGCTTCTTCAGTGCAGGAAACAAAACTTTGTGCAAGTTTCCATCAATAATTTCAGAAACTGAAAAATAAAGGATGACCATAAAAGTGCAGAACTGTCTTAAAAAAAAAAAAAAAAAAAAAAGAAGACACATTCTGAAATGAATGGGGAAAGGAAGAAGCAGATGAACCTGTAGTTCAAACTGTAGAAAGTTACTCGTTTCTAAAATAACAAGCAGATATTTTAACACTTCACTTTTCGGTCATTTGCAGACATGAGAAAGAAAAATTAACATCAAGGCCTACTAAGAGGAAAAAAAAAAGTTGACTAGATCAATTTTTACTTTAAACACGCACCAGAAGACATGTAAGAATACTTTATAAGATTACTCAAAACCACTGCACAAGCACAAATGCTAGCTAAACTAGTCCAAAATCCAGAAGAAAAAAACCCCATGAATCTGACTAGATGATGCTGTACACAAACACGGCATATAAAACACACACACGTACACCTCCCTTGCAGTTCTGTGCTGGTCCAGAATCTGGCTACCACAAACAGCTAAAAGTTTATGAACCAGAAGCTGATCCACTCCAACTCATCCTATTATGTAACAGTAAAAGGGGTGATGGTAAATTAATAAGAACTCTCTGATCTTAGGTTTAAATCTCTCTCCATTCTATTGTTATTGTTCAATCCATTACCTGCTGGGTTGCATTGTCTACCAAAAAGTTATTCCCATTATTGAACTGCCTAAACAAAGATAATAAAAGTAAAACTGAAAGAAGAAAAAAATCTTCACATAAAACAACATATGAATTAAATATGTTGTTAACAAACATTTTTTTCTTACAGACTTTTGTCAAAAGCATTCATTTACTGTAAAGTTTCTGATCTAGAAATGACCAAAAACTTCACAATAGGGACAAGCAGAATAAAAACCAAAACAAAAAAAAAAAAAAAAAGAAGTTATTATATGGAATCAAAACAGCCAAATAAACAGAGCATCAATGAAAACCTTCATTGCAGAAGAAGCAATTAAGTAGGAGAACAGAAAATACTGACCTGGAAGTCAAGCTGGTTGGAGTAGGGATGAAAGCAGCAGTTTGGAGAAAAACAGATAGGGAGGGAGACAGCAAAAGAGAATAAAGGGAGGAACACATTAGTTCTTATAAAATATAACAAGCAGATGTTATATCAGCAGATTTTATTTAAAATAAAAAAAAAAGAAAGAAAGAAAAAGAAAGGGAAGGGAAAGCGAGAAGTAAAATAAAATTTCTGTAAACCCTTGTTGTGCACTGAATTAAACAGAAATTTTAAAATAAAATGGCAGCTTGTCATTTGTGGACCATGGAAAGTCATCCATATTTATAACCATCCAAACACCTGTACACACCAAATGGAGCAAATAAATTAGGTCAATACTGGTAGTGTTTGCTGATACATAAATGTCTCTTCCTGCACCATGAATCCTTTCTTTGAACCAACAGAGGTTTGGTTACTCACATTCATTGAGTCTCCCATGAAAGCCAAAACAGCTAAACAGCTTGTCCAAAGATACCATTTAGAAGTTCACAAAGCACTGTACCTAATAATCAAAGAGAGAGATCTCCCCAACCCCAACCCCCTGGGAAATACAGTCTCTTCTAACCCTGACAGCAATTTTTTTCTGTTGTCTGAAGAAAAAGGTTAATACTTCATCACTGAAAACACTCCGATACTTGATAAGTTGTTTAAAGATACCTAAATGCCCATTCAATTAAGACAAAAAAAAGACACCCAACTAGAAAAATCCTTAAAAGCTGTCACTGGTGTCTATGGACATCTTTTAAAAGCCACAAAAATAAATTTTTGGAATGCAATTATTCCATATGCTGATGTTTTGCCACTTATGCAATGAATTGCCAGTGCTGTGTGGACTTATTTTCTTCAGAATTCAAATCCAGATCAATTCAGAACGGATTAATTGTAATCTCAACATCTCAAGGTTTTAAATGTACATCTGTAGTGTTATTACCCAAAACTTACCACTGCATGTGAGAAGTAGATAACAAAAACCTCAAACTTCTCATTTAAAAACAAACTGGTTTTATCTCCTAGCTAGTATAGTATTTTTAAATGAACTTTGCCGTTGTTGTAAGCTCTGCTAAGAAGCTATACTCAATCAAACAATGACTGACCATCTAACATACCAGTGGAGAAAAACACATTCAAGATTTTGCAACGTTCTCATCACTTACTTTCTCTTTTGAGTCTAAACTTCTTAATGGATGACTTATAACCATTGTATTATGTGCCAACACTCTTTTACTGAAATCACTCTTCTTTCACCACGGTGCTTACCCCATCGCATATTTATAGAGGACAAGCATCCCTACCAAGCCTTTGTTTTGCCAGAGAAACAAACCACTGTTGTTTCAACCCCTCCTGTGACATGAGCACTCCATTCCTTTAATTATCCTACCAGCCCTCTCCGCACCTGTTTCCAGCTTTAATTTTCAAATATGACTGATGAGAACTACACAGCAGTGTTCCACATGGAGTCTTGCTAGTGCTTGATGACATTAATACCTTCCTATCCTTACTGCAGACATTTATTCTGACATATCAGGACTCACACCTCATTATTTAGATGTCTGCTTCATTATTTAGATGGCTCATGACACTGCCATAAGCAAAGTCACCCAATCTTCCTCTTCCTAAACTGTACCAAGGATTATCCTTAGCTTACAGCAGGCAGTCTTACTGGTGCTAACTTCATAATCATGCCTTTTGTACTACTGTATTTCACTTAATTTAATGACTCAAGCTCCCCAGTATATTTCATAAACATACTTTTCAGTCTAACACCATTAATGAAAGCATTAAACAATACACTCCTCAATTCTGTTTCAACTGCAGTTACTTCTCTTTGGCTAGGCCCTTCATATCGAAATTTAAGCTGATCACTATCTTAACCAGAATCATTTACATTATCAAAAAAAAAAAAAAAACAAAACAAAAAACCAACCCCAAACCCAACAAATGAACCACACACCAAAACCCCCACATTTCCTTCATCAGGAAAACCAAAGAAAAACATCAAGCTAAGTTTACTGGAAGTACATTACTCTAGGATATATTGCATTTAATTTTAACCTCTTCTTATCATGAACAGATAAATCCCAAAAGATGTAATAAGAGTTATCAAACAGCTTTAGTACAGAAGGAGGAATTGATTCTCCTATGTAGCAATAAGAAGTTGTAAAATACAAATAAATATATATGGAGTAATTTAAGAAATAGACCAACATGGTTTTACATACGAGGAATAGTACAACTCATGAAACTTCAGGGATGCAACTCAGAAGTGTGATAGTTTCTGATGTAAGAAAATCACATTGAACCAAAAGAATTACCACTCATATGAAATCTTCTTCAGGTTTATTAATCATGTCCATCTGCCAAATTCAATTGCCCATATCTTGAAGTAGGTATTTCTGCCCTTGAATATTTGACATTTTTTGTGTCAAGACTTTGACAAATAGTAAAACATCAGTATCCATCATCTTGTTTTAATACTTGTTTAATTCTTTCAAGTTTATTACGAATGCTTTTACTTTTCAAACCTTACTATGCTGAATTTACATGTGAATAAAATGAATATTATGAAGATACCATTGCCCACAATACTCCAGATTACAACTCTCTCAGAAATTTATTTTTATAAATTTTGAGAATTTATGTTGTTGCAATTATCTTGCTATGTAAAGATGCTGGCATAGCAGTGAATATGGATCCCAGCAAGCTATTAACCAAGAAGTACATTTCAGAATTCGTTTTCCTACAAAACCCTGAAGATACTCTTACATCTGAAGTTAGGGATAAAATGTGATAGGTAATAATGTGAAAGAAAAAAGAGAAAGAGAAAAAGTAAGGAGAGAAAATAACAACCTAAAACACATTATATGAATTTCAAAATGGGGGGACAAGAAGGAAAGAACATTTTCAAATATGCTTCTGTTGAAGTTGCAGTAATTTTCACAATGCTTTAATCCCATACAGTGGGAAAACTGAGCTTTGGCTCCACCTCTTCTCTTCAGTAATGAGCCAATCAAGTCTCATTACAAGCAGAAAAAGTAGTAACACTTCATAAAACGTTACAGCAATTTCTACTCCAGCTGACACCCTAGAAAGGGGAATTTCAATGTCAAATTCCCTCTCTAGGGACACCAATAGGTGGCACAGTTATATACACATTTAATCTTCAGGCCAATACTTTTAGAAAATAAGGAAAAGGAATAGAAAATAAATAAAATTTTAGAGAAACCTAAGATGAGCCTGATTAGTAAGAAGGGCTGGATACTCTCTCTCTAAATATTTCCCTTTTAGACCTTTATCTTGCTGGCAGATTGCTAGACTTACTGTACTAATCGACACATTTGTGTCTGTGCTTATGCGTGGTGGAAAATAGCTTTAAAACTTCATTGCCAAGTAAAGGCAGTAACTTCTGTTGATGAAACAAATAATAAATATTTTTTACGTAAATGCTTTTTTTTCTCATTTACAATAATTACCTTACATATACTGTGGGTGAATTAATCTTGAAAGCTGTAGGTAAGTTACATCAAGTGAGAAAGTACATTAAAGTTAACAGAACTCGAAAACCAATCTTAGAGCATGATGATTCCCAAAAACTGCAACTGTCCTTAGCTGGTCATGCCACAGATATCTTATTGTAAGCATTACAGAAGCACTTAAAGGTTCATAGCAAAGCTTTACTTCATCATATTCAACGTACAGTACATCTTGTTCAAAAAGTCTGGGCAGTACCAAAATATTTTCTGAAAAGTTCTTACAGGATCAACACACTCACTGACAATAACAGAATGGAAATTGGTGTCCCAAAATTTCACTGACAAAAATGCATCAAATTTTAAAAATATATTAATACAAAAATAGAAAGCACTGTCAACTACATAACCCACTACATGGTTCTCAGACAGTAAGAAGAGGTTGTACTCCAACAAGGCTGTAGTAACAGCTCTTCATCCCTTGGCACCTTGTTTGTAACCATTGTTTCTCTATCAATAATTCTCAATTAAATTCAGATAAATCTACTAATCTATATTTATCTAATATTTATATCTTTTTATATAAAATACTTAAATTAGCATTTACTAAAAGTTTTAGACCACAAGATTCCCTACTTTATCATGTTTATCTATTAATCTTAATTGTCATTTTAATATTCAACCATTCAACACGTGTGTGACTGCTACTTAATAAATCTCTAAAGATTATCCTCTTCACCAAAAGTTTAGCATGCCTGCTATTGCATCTAGTGTCACACAATAATTCAGTAGGTTTTATAGCCCAATGAGGATATCAGTTACTGTTTCTGTAAAAACTACTCAGTCAGTTTCCACCAGCTTGGTCACACCTACAGTTACTGTATTACAAGCCCAGGTCTGTAACTGCCCCTATAATACATGAACTGATGGGTGGAGTAGGCAGCACTTTCTTGACCACACAAATTCACTAATTGTGTTATATTTTTCAACATGCCACTTTAGGATTTTAGAGAGTTTGGGCAGAACTCACAGTCATGGTGCTAAAGTGACCACTCTTCATTCTGGTATCTACTTAACACATTAAAATCACTGCAACCACTACGGTATTCTAATTTCTAATATGTAACTGCTACTCAAAGTTTTCCTCATGTAAATAGTTCTATGTCAAGTACAAATCTTTTTTCAATTTAAATTAAGGTCTCAGTTTTCATGACACTTGGACTGATAACTCTATACTCTTCAGTATTATCATTATTAAACCTTTGCCAATAAGTTTTGGCAACAGATAACTGTGAAGGTTAATAAGCCATCATCAGTAAAAGATGCCCTACATGTCTTCCTTTCCAAGCTGGCTGGTTTTCTCCCCCTAAGGTAACCAACGCTTCCGGCAGACCTTCTCCTCTTTCTTGGTAATTCTCCCTAATGGGACAGAGCAGTGTTTTGTCTGGAACTATAGCAATAATCACAACAGTGAGATCCCTTAAACTTCTCTTTTGGAATGATAAAGAATTTTTCTTCTGACTTGATCACTAGGAAACAATTACATAAAATATCAGAAAATATCAAAATCCTTCTTTCATTCACATAAGAGTGGCTAAGTACAGGAAGGGAACAAAGAAATCAGATCCACATAAACTGCTTATCAATCAAATAAATGGCAGCATACCATATGGGAGAAGGTTCCCAGAATTATTTAGTTATGAAGGGTGGGAGACAAATAGACCCCCAAACCCTCCAGTCTCCATTAAGGAAAGACTGTACAACCTTGTCAGAAATGAGACAAACACTGCCTGGTCAGTGTCAGAAAATTGAAGCAGACAAAGACTAGAGAAACATGAAAAAATGGTTACAACTATTAATTAATTGTCATGAAACTGGTTAGAAATACTTACCAATACTTTTCAGGACCTCTGAGAGCTGGTGTTGCTGTTCACTCTGAAGAAGCATGTATAGGGACAGTTCTGATTTACCAGTTACTAGAAAGGTAGGATTGTTCCCCAAAAGGTTTTATGGGAGGGTTCTTGTCATTGTAAACTGCATATGGCTTTTTTATGTATGTTCCTTTTATAGAGACTACTAAAAAAGTGGAAACCTTAAACTGTTCCAAAATCAGCAGAGAAGATAACAAATATTCTGTGAAAAAAACATATTCTACACTTAACGTCTCTGCTCTGCAATGAAGACCAAGTAAATAAAAATCCACTTAATGTAAGACAAATAATACAAGAATTACCTTTCTAACTCAGCAATTTTCTTATCTTTGTCATTCTTCTCATTCTCTACTTCCTTGAGTATTTCTAGAAGTCTGTCAACCTCAGCCTGAGCTTTGCCACATTCTTCTCTATAGTATGATGCTTCTTTGTCAAGCTGTTTCATTCTGTCTGCAAATTCTGGATTCATCCGTGCCTCCTCTTCAGCCTCATGAGCCTTCAGAATCAAGATTTTTAAAACAGTAAGGATGATGATAATTCAGACAGCTTTAAGAGCTTTACTTCAGTCTTGGAGATCAATTTTTTTCTTAAAAAGGATTATGGGTGTTTCTGTCCGACTACAGTATTTTCTACAGAAGCATTATAAAAAGGAATGAAAATATCTTCATAGTCTAAAATAATAGTCAAATGCTACCATCCTAAAGATGTGGGGATTTACTAAGGTTTGTTTACATATTAAAGTGACCATAGTCAACCAAGGGTGTTCTTTAAATTTAAAAAAAATCTACTTGCAAGTAATTTAATTCACATTAAGCTTTTAAAGTGTTTCAAATATATTGGCAAATTCTAAATAAACCATATTCTCTCTCTTTCCCCATATACATACACTTTGTCCATGTATATATATGCACACACAGATACATATATATCGTAATCTGTATCACCAGATGTTTCAAATGCAGTTTGAAGGATTTAAAGGGAAGAAATTTTTTTTTATGCAGTGCTGTTTTTAAAAGACAAACCAATGAACTAAAAAGTTGCTTTGAACAGACATTTTACCCAATAATCCTTTTTCTCTTATTGTTAATACTTAACCTGAAACATCAGAAGAACAAGCCCATTGGTGAAAACAGCACAAACCTGGCAAACACATGCATGGATGGGTGGCAGTTTCACAGACAAGTAAGAACGCAACGAACACAACAACAGCAGTGCAGAGCCCAACCTTACTCCCATCAAACCTAATGGCAAAAACCTAATTAACTTCAATGGGAGCATGATCTGGCACCAAGTACTTTAAACTGTTGGTTGGAATAATCACAGACAGATGGAAACAACAATGCACTGCAATGCTTAGCCTACCCCTTGCTTCCCATTATTCCTAATTGGCATCTTGAAAGAGCAGGCAAGGAAAAAACAAGTAGTTTAAGGCAGTGCACATTAAACATAGAAAATTCAGATAACATTCTTTTCACATACAAGAATTTTACAGAAATTCGGGATATTTAGAACTGAAGGTCCTCCAACTATCTTATTATGCAGAGAAGACATGGACTTATTTATCCTTCTTAATTTCAAAGAGTAGACAATGCAAGCAAGCAATGAAAGAAATGCGGATCAAAATGAAACATGCATGCTTTGGAAAGGATTAAACTACAGATACTAGAAGGTTCATATTCTTTGCAATGAATAAAATTTTCTGTATAAATAAAGAACAAGTTTCGTTGACTGTAAGTACAACTATTAAATTGAAATTACTTGGAAAGAAACTTAGGGTGTTTGCATGTAACATATCATTTAAGCATGAGGATAATAAGAAAAAAGATAGTAGGTTTTAAGTGTTATTTATCCTACTGGGCGATTCTTATTCAGAAAAAATACCTGGTTACCAAAATAAGCCAAGGGAATAACATGAGAAGCCTACAAAACCAGTGGCCTTGCTCTTCAAACTCTATTTTGGATAGTAATACATGCTCCAGCCCTGAATCCTAGGCAGATACAGGACTTTACTAACAGAGTTTGTTTCAAGGCAACATCCAAAGAGTATCTTGATTTTACTGTTTGGGTGAGATGCTAGCAACAGATACCTTTTCATCCTCATAAATCTTCCTACTTTAATAACAAACCTTGATTTATTTTATACTGGGTCTTAATTGTTTCAAGAAATTTACTCAGGGCCAATTACATGAGAGACTGTGCACCAGTTTCCAGGTGCGAAACATTTCAATTTTCCAACAGGTCTATTGAGATATTAGGCAATGTTTTATCTCTCAAAAATCAACACTAAGTGTCTTTAGCAAAGAATGAAAATATGTTTGTAAAGATAAATTCACCCTAGGAAAAAATAAAAAAAATTAAAATTAAAAAAAAAAAAAAAAACAACAAAAAAACCAAATGAACAACCCCGCTCCCA